CACAAGGCTATCAGAATACTGTCTTTTTTCCATCCACTGAAATTGAATGAAAATGTACAACAAGTGCATGAAGGACCCCACCACCACCACCTCATGGTGAGGCTTCTGATCTACCGCAATGGCACCTCTGAAAGCCTGGAGCCCCTGGCAGTGATCCTTGTAGCTTCCTGGTAATCTGTACCAACAGAACATCAGAGCAAACACTAGAAATGAGAGGATGTTGTATAATAGTGGGAGAAAAACTGTCCTGATTAGAGTTCTCCTGCACTTTAGCATTATTGCAAGTCAGGGAAGAGATTCGGAATATTACTCTTAAACTATGATTTACAGAATATCTAAGCTAGCACAGCCCATGGCCATTCTGCACGGGGGGAATTCTAGCAGCTGTGGTCAAGTAATATTTCCAAACTTTGGATAGGTGGCAAAACAGGCACATTCCAATAGACACACATTTGCACAGACTGCTCGTGCTTTAAATTCTAGCAGTATTTGTAAAGGAAGCTAAGTGACGGGCAGGGCATACTGTGGCATGCCAGGCTTGCTTTCACTGTATCATAGTATAACTTACAGTAGCATAACTGTTACACGTAACCCGAGGGAGAATGCACCACTTACCTTCCTATTGAGAGCAACACCATCTTCACAATCCAGCACTGCACAATCCACATTGAGTGATGGAATTTTTTGCATCTTCCTCTCATCATCTGCAGGCACATAGAGAGCAGCTCTCCGGGGTATATAGCTGTGAGAACGTGTCAAGCAGTAATCAAGCTTAGGAACAGCTACAGGCAGAAGGGCGCACCTCCTACAAAAAGAGAAGGTACGGATCAATCTTCCAGCAGTGCTTGGTCTTCTTTTTCTAAAATGTTTGCAAGGTTTTTTTTTATATTTTTAATTCAGGGTGAGAAACATGTTGCTAGACTATAGCTCCCATTACTCCCAACTATGGTGTACCATCTGCCAGAACAGACAGGAATTTCATTAAGTGTTTCCCACTGCAGCCTTACTGTGACTCAGAGGGCTGAGAACATGTGATATATATATCACTATCACCAAGAGAGAGATAAAGTTTCATTTTGAAGAAAAACATGTTAAAGTCATATTCCCAGCTGCAAGCAAACTGAGAACAAAGATCAACTCTCCCCAATGTTCACTCAAAACAGGAGCACTTTAATATATTCTTCTTTTATGTTTGTTTGCTTGTTTGTGTGTTTGTTTATTTATTTATTGCGCAAACTGAGAACAAAGATCAACTCTCCCCAGTGTTCACTCAAAACAGGAGCACTTTGATATATTCTTGTTTTATGTTTGTTTGTTTGTTTGTTTGTTTATTGCGCTTATATGCCGCCCATATAGACATTGTCTACTCTGGGCAGCTCACAACAAACAAGATAAAAACAGTCAATATATAGTAACAGTTTTATAGCAATATACTGTACAATGAAAACAATAGTTCAAAATGGGAAGAAGAAAATCAAGTAGTGCCTGGAGGGAATGCCTGTCTGAATAACCAGGTTTTAAGTTGGTTTTTAAAATTTTTTAACTTCTACCCCAAGTAAACAAGAGGTGAGCTCCATTTCCCTAGAGGGAATGAAAACAAACTCCACTTATCTAAAACTATGACTAAATAATTCCTACCCTCACCTTCAAAAATGGATCAATTGGACTGGACAAGTAAAGATTATAGTGATGACTCGCATTACAATGTTGCAGCGAAATTGCTGTAGAACGAAACATCGTAAAGCGATTTTTAAAAGGCCATAGAAACGCATTAAAACCTGATTAATGCGTTCCTATGGGCTTGAAACTCACCGTCCAGCGAAGATCCTCCATAGCACGGCCATTTTCGCTGCCCGTGCAGCGAGGAATCCATCCCAGAAAACAGCGGGCGGCCATTTTTTTTACCCGGTGGCCATTTTGAAACTGCCGATCAGCTGTGCGCAAATCTTCGTTTTGCGATAATCAGTTAGTGAAGCAGGTAACCGATCATTGCAAAGCGAAAAAACCCCATAGAAAACATTGTTTTGCGTCCCCATAGGAAACATCGTTTTGCGATCATTGCGATCACAAAACTTCGTTATGCGATTTCTTCGTTAAACGAAGCGCTCGTCTTGCGAGCCACCACTGTACACAACTGTGGGCACTGCTGTGCAACAAATTTGTAATTGGTACTGGTTTGACATTAGTGAGCTATGTTTTATTTCAGTCTATCCACATCACTAATGATTTAGTATCCATAGCACCACAGCCACATTCCACATAAATCTGAACCGTTGTTAGGGATGGAACATTAGATTTCAGTCTCCCTGCCCATTCCACTCATTACAAGGTGCCTCTTAGGAAACTACAATTCCCCTAATGCTTTGCAACCCTAGTCCGGCCCAGCCAGTTCCTCCTTTGTGGACAGCATCAGAACTGAGAAACAGGGATATTTTATCATTTAGGCAGCAGCTTTAAGTTATATTGGTGCCTCACAAGACAAAAGAAATTTGTTCCACGAGTAGCACCGTCTTGCGAAATTTTCGTCTTGCAAAAAGCAGCTTGCCATAAGAATGTATTGCAATGCATTCCTATGGGAAACTTCGCAAGACGAATGAATTATTTTCATCTTGCAAGGCATTGGTCTTGCAAAAAAAATTGTCTTGCGAAGCACAGCCATAGAAGAAGCCATCATGTGAGTCACCAACACGATCGCAAAACGGTTTCATCTTGTGGATTTTTCGTCCTGCAAGGTGTTCGTCTTGCGAAGCACCACTGTATATCAAACACTAGAGAGGACTTAAAGGGCTGCTAAAGTCTTGGGAATTCTGGCTGGGGCAGTTTCAGCAGACATCTGGGTGCTGTGACAAAAAAAAATTACAAAAGTCCCATCCCTAACCACTAATCTGTAGCATTTTTTTATTAAGTAAAGGAGTGTACATCAATGGGTCCATATTTTGAGTGTGAATTGAGATCTTAGTCTGAGTATTATTGCTTGTGAAGATATAGCTTCAACTCTTTGGAAAGTTTTGTCTTCTTTTGGGACCTCCTCTGATTTCTGAAATAAAGGAACCCATATATATCAATGCTCAGATAAGAAAATCTATCTTTATTGAAAACATCAGGTAATAAGATTTTTTTAAAGCTAATATATTAAGAAAGAACCTATAATATGTTGTCTTATATTTACTGTTCAAAGCAGACCAACTTCTTCCAATCAATTTAGCTAATTCATGGACCTTCTTGCCCCTCCTGTCTCCTCCCACTTCCAGAAGGAAGATTTCATTTCTCCCCCTCAAAAAACTATAGTACTTGAACACTGGCTTAAAACATGTTTGTCTTCTCCCCCTACTCCATGGATGGCCAGAGGAAGGAAGTTTTAATTTCCCAATGCCTCCATATCATTAAGTGATTATGGTGTTTGTTAAACCACTAATGATACGGGGGCATTGAAACCAGCTGGGAAATTCAAGCAGGAAGTTTGCTTTGGTTCGATCCCATCAATCACATATGCTAGAAATGAACCAAAATGTTCCCTATCCACACCTAAAAAAACAGTAGCCCCTAATAGGAACCAGAAACACTCTAGGGGTGGGCTGTTTTGAGCTGCCACTTATGTTGTTTGGTTACTGGCAAAAGAAGCAATCCAGCTGGCCCCCACAGCAGACCAAACAGCACACAAATGCCCATGTAATCACCCCCTAAGACAATCACAATACCAATGGAGGATTCACCATTTAAATTTGTACCTTCAAGGGACAGGTTCTGCCTCTACAGTTTAGTACTCCCAGATGTACTGCCATGTTATATTGGTGTATTGCTTACTGATTTTCCCCAGGAGATACATTCCAAGATCATATATATATATATATATGTACCGTATTTCCATAGTTAAAACTAGTGCAACGCCAGCACCCATTCCTGGAGAGGTCTGATCTAGCCGCAATGCCAAATGTCTTAGTTACATCCCAGCTGAATTACCATACATGAGATTGCCTTTGGAAAGTATTCAGAAACTTCAGTGGATCCAAAACACTGGGGACAGATTGTTAACTGGGGGTGTTACAGGGATCATGTCACCCACTCCTCCCCTTGCTCACTCAGTTATGGCAGTTCCACTGGCTACTTATCTGGTTCCAGGCACAATTCAAAATGCTGAATATAAAACCCTGAACAGCTTAGATCCATGCTATGTCAAAAATAGTGTCTCCCCTTATGAACCTGCCCAGGTATTAAGATTATTAGGGGAGACTTTTATCTTGGTTCCACCAGATTCACAGATGTGTTTGGTGGGGATATGGGAGAGGCCTTTCCTTCTCTGCCTTTTTAAGGAGAAAGGTGGGGAAAATATTTTAAATAAATAATCAATATTCCATCAACAGCTAGTACTACTTAGGTTTAGTCACAATACCACAATTTCTACTGTTCATATTACACTGCAATTTAATAAAACAAATAACATCTTATTTATTTTGTAATGTTAATTGATTCAGTTAATTTCATATTTATTACACATGTGTAGTCCCACTGCTCTGGTGTGTTTTGTATGACAGGACAGTGGCTTTTAGCATTTGACTTCAAAAACACACAATTAAAAAGTGCAATAATTTAGTGACCAATAAGAAAATAATGTATTAGATCTAAATCCAGTTACTAGTCCCAACACAGTGATGAATCAACACTTGTGTAAATCCCACTGATTCAGTGCTACAGTGCTTGAGAGCAGCAACTGAACATGGCTATTTTTTAAAAAAATTTAACTATGATGGGAGCTAACCAAAAAGTTGTTCAATTTGTGGTTTCTTTATTTGTCCTGAGAGTATAAAATGGCATTACTTGTAGCTCTCCAAACTGTTAAAACAGAGGCCAGCCTTACAAGGACCTTCATATCTTTGTTAGAAAAATTAAAATTTCGTATTTGTGTTATCACGGATGGTGACCAGCTGGTCGCCAACATTTCTTTGTTTTCAATTTGTTGATATTATCCAAAACATCCATTTTTGTCTTCCACTATTTGCGTCAGTTTCTATGAGTCACATCTTCAAGACCATTCACTTACTTTCTCTGCAATGTTCCAATCGTCCTTCAGTACCCCTTTATATTAGTTTTCACTCAGTAGTTCAAATGCCTATTTAGCTAGTTATTTGGTTCACTCAATTTAATTTTTTTATATACTAGTCTTGATTTTATTAGCTATGTACCGCTTTGCATCCTTTGTTGTTGTTATGTCAAGGCACCTCCGACTTATGGCAACCCTATGAATGTTTTGTCCTCAACAGCTCTGCTCAACTTTCTGACTTTCTTTAGGAAGCCAATACATCTCATATTTAGTCTTCCTCTTTCCCTGTTGTCCTCAATATTTCCCAACATTATAGTATTTTCCGGAGAATCTAGCCATATCAGATTGTGTTCAAAATATGACAGCCTCAGTTTCATCATTTGTGCTTCTAGAGACACTTCAGACTTGACTTTCTCTAGGACCCACTTCCTCCTCTTTCTGGAAGTCCAGGGAATCTACAAAGCTCTCCTCAAAATGAATCAGTATTTTTCCTGGCAATTTTCTTTATTCCCCAGAGCTCACACTCATACATGGTGATCAGGAATACAAGAGTCACTGGTGGCAAGATAGGACAGAAATTAGATGAAATGGAAAGTGACGAATAAAGAGGTTCCCAACATTCTGAACTGTTTCTCTTGTTATTCCTTGCATTTCCTTTGCGCCAGTTTCTGTTCCTTTTTGTCTTCCATGTTTGTGCTTGTTTCTAAATAAACATACATGATGCTTCATCTCCACAATAAGGGTTTAAGCTGTTTTGACACACACCA